ATTTTGTTTATTTGTCAGTGAGAGAGAGAGAGAGAGCACAAGCAGGGGGAGCAGCAGAGAGAGAGGGAAAAGCAGACTCCCCGCTGAGCAGGGAGCCTGATGCGGGGCTCCGTCCCAGGACCCTGGGATCATGACCTGAGCTGAAGGCAGACCCTTAACCGACTGAGCCACCCAGGCGTCCCTCTGTAATGATTTTAATTCCTTTTTTTTTAATGTGGTAAAATACACATAACATAAAATACTACCCTAACCATTAAGGCTGCGTATGGAGGTGGCCTCCATAAAGGCTGAGTGATTGGACGGGGCGGGGGCTTCAGGGGCCTTGGTGTACTGGAACCTCCTCCGTGGGGCAGGTGGCAGGACAGGGTGCCCGGGGCAGGGGGTCTGTGGCATCTCGGGCTCTGCTGTCTGGGAGAGGTCGGGGGCAGGAGCTTGGCGTCCGGCAGATGTCCAGGACATCTTTTGCGATCTGCCATATTGCTGCCATTTGTTGAAGCTCACCCAGGGCCTGGAAGGCAGGTGCTGTGTTGGTCTCCACCTCACGGATCAGGAAACTGAGGCCCGGAAAGGGGGAGTCACCTGCCCAGGGTCACACACAGGTCAAGGATGGTGCTGGGATCGAGCCAGGTCTGACGGGGAAGGCTGAGCCCTTCCTTTTCAGTCCTTTAAACTCTAAAAAAAAATTAAACTTTTTTATATTACAGACTTCGTGCATGCTCAGTGCACGGAGCTAGTAATAATAAATAAAAGAAAAAGATCCTTCCACCTCCTTTCCACTACGCATGATGCCTGACTTGCTGGAAGTGTTTGTCCCAGAGAGTGATTTGGTCTGCAGGGGCCAAGGGGGACTTCTCTAAGGGAGACACCAAAGCCGAGAATGAAAGCGTGGGTGGGAGTCAGCAGGGTAGGGAGGGGAAGAGCAGGCTGAACAGAAGGCGTGCTGAGTGAAGGCCCTGAGCCAGGGCAAGACGTAACCTTCCCCAGCCTCAGTTTCCACACCTGTAAAACGGGCATAATCGTCCTTGTCTCCTGGGCTCAGTGGGACCATGGGGTGAAATTGTGCCTGGAGAGAACATAGCCATTTGCCTGGTCCTCAGTAGCCCCCAGGGGTAGTTGTTACACAGAAGAAAATACTTGTGGTAGACCCCCTCAAGCTCATGGGGTTCCCAGAGGCCATCTAGTTCAGCGGTTCTCAGCTGGAGTGGTTCCGCTCCCAGGGGATATTTGGCCCTGTCTGGAGACCCTTTTTGTTGTCCTAACGTGAGGGCAGGTGCCACAAACATCTAGCAGATGGAGGCCAGGGACGCGAGACAGGCCCCTCTCCCACTGAGAATCATCCAACCCCAAATGTCAGAGGTGCTGGGGTGGGGAAACCCGACTCCCGGAGCTGGTCTGAGTCACTTATTTTACCAGCAGGGAAACTGAGGGGCATTGCAGGGAAGGGGCCCCTCAGGGTCTCTGTCCCAGCGAGACAGGACGGGGCCAGGCTTGGCACGCAGGGCCTGGGCTCCTGGAGCAGCTTTCCTGGTGGCTGTGCGTCTGAAGGAGAGCGGGACGGACCCGGGCCTGTTGGAACCTGAGGCCCGGGCCCTGGGTGGCGGATGGAGTCACTCCGTCATCCTGCGGACAGGAGTCCTGGATGTGAACTTCCTTATGAGGCAGCAGCCCCCCACCGGGTGCCGGCAGCGGGGAGGGGGCGTGTACCTGGCGCGGGGTGTCCCGGCTCAGCCAGCCTCAGGACTGGGCTGTTTCGTCAAGTCCCGGCCTCAGAGCTGTGACAACTCACAGGGTGAGTTAGGGCTCTGGGGTAACCGGGGTGTCTGGGACAGCTCCCCATCTCTGCTCCGGCGAGGCAGGGTGCCCCCACCTTCTGATAATGAACAGCGGGGTGGCGCAGCGTTTGGGGAGCACGGCCTCACCATGTGTTTATGCAGCCGTGTTTCTGCCTGGCTGAAGGAGAGGCGGGTGACGTGGGAACCCAGGAGGCAGGAGACCCAGGTCTGAGCCCTGATCCTGCTGCTAGCTTGCTGTGTGACCTTGAGCCAGCCTCTCACCCTCTCTGGGCCCTCAGTTCCCTGTCACAGAGCAGTGGGGGGCCATCAGTGGGTCTCTAGCCATCTGAAGGAAGCTCTCAGGTTCTGGCCAGGGTCCTCGGGGCTCAGGAAGAAGACACTGGATGCCTGGGCCCCCACTCCGTCTGTCCCCATCTGGCAGTTTGTATGCTGATCCGTCCATCCATCCATCCACCTCCCTGGACAGGCATTTACTGAGCCCACATTGTACACCAGGGCCTGTGCCGGGCATGGGGCACTGCAGTGTCAGGGAGGTTACGGTCGGACGGGGACACAGCCTGGAGACAAATGGGATACGGCGTGCTGGGGTCTTCCGAGGGGTGAGGGAGCAGAGGAGCCTGTGAGGCTCTGGGGGGCCTGGCCAGCGTTCGTGGAAGAAGTGACAGCTAAGCTGGGACTGGTAGTGGTGGGTGAGTGAATTAGCCCAATGAAGAGAAGGAAGATGTATGTTTTGCAGGCAGAGGGACCTGCAGCTACCAAGACCTGGAGGCTGGAGATCGTATGGCAAGTTCTAGAAGGTGTGGTTGGGTGTGAATTATGGAAGTGCCTGGCAAGAGGAGGCTGGGCCATGGGGCTGGTGCAGCCTCTAATTGGTATTGCCTCCTGGGGGTGGGCTTCCCGAGCCCTACCGGGACAGTCTCTGCAGGGGTAACCGGAAAGGCCCCCCACCGAAGGCTCCCCACTGAGGCTGGCCTCCCTGCGCCCTGCCAGCCCCCAGTTACCGCAGGGCCCCCACCGTGGGCCCAGGCAGCTGCTCTCCGAGCTGAGGACTCCTGCTGCTGAGCGAGCTGCCTTCCCCTCCAAGAGCCGCCCCCTGAGAGCCACCCGCAGGGACCCTCCGAAGAGGCTTTTGTCTTCTCTTTATTGTTTTTAACAGTCTCTGCAGATCACTTAGGTAACATACATCCATTGTGGGGAAATGAGAAGCTCTGGGGGAGGCCTCCACCCTGGCATCCAGAGTGATCTGGGGACAGCAGAGCCTGTCCCCACGTGGACCATCAAGTCCTGGCACCAGGCTTGTCCCCTCCTCCTGCCCAGGGACCTGTCTTGACCAGGGAGCCTGGGGCCATGGACCAGGTCTTGTCCCTGCAACGCTCCTTCTCCCTGGCTGTGTGTCCTGACTAGGTATGAAGTTTGGAGCTCAGAGCGCTCCGCTGGGAAGGAGAATTTAGAGGGACCTGCACTGGGCTGGGTCCCTTCCTGGTACCAGTGTTGGGAAGCGCACCCGACCTCTTGCCTCATCTCTGAACCCCAGCATCACTGAATCCACCTCGCAGGGTAGGGGTGACTCACGAGGAGCAGCCATGAAGGCTGAGCTCTGTGCCCGGGAAGGTCCAGGCGGAGGGTGAGATGGGGCAGCCATCTGGTTACTGAGCAGGGAGCTGGCCTCCCTGGACCTCTTCTCCACATGCCCCCTCTTTGAATGGGTCCCGGCCATGGTGCCACCTCCTAGGGCCAAGATGGGGTGCCCGGAATCCCCTCCCTGGACACGAGGGTCTCCATTAGAACAGAACAACGGGGCAGGTGAGTCTTGGCGACCCCGTGTCTCTGAGCACCTGGGCTCTTCAGTGTTTGCCTTCGACCCCCGCCTCAGCTCTGGTCTGGGTTGCGAGGACGAGCAAGTACCCCTCCTGAGCCTCAATTTCCTCATCCTTCAAATGGGCTTCACTGTAGACTTGCTCACCAGCTGCCGTGGGCGCTCCAGGAGAATGGGTTTGCAGCGAGGGGCCCCGAGAGCTAGGAGCTGGGAGCAGACAATGGCTGATCCCTCGCTAGCTTCCCTCTATGCTGGGAATCCCCCTCCTCCAGCTGGGTTGCTAAGCTACACACAAGAGCCAACTCATGAATTACTTTACAACAGCTCATCTGAGTTCATAATACTAAAGATCATGCTGTTGATGATTTTTTATGCCCAGGCCTGGGGTAAGTGTTACCTCATCATCTCATCTGATCCCGACAAGATCGCTATGAGAGCTGTCCCCTTTTATGAATGAGGGGATTGAGACTCAGAGAGGGGAAGGCACTTGCCCAAGGTTGCACAGTCAGCAAGGGGCAAAGCTGGGATGTGGAGTATAAAGCCATGTCGCCATCAGCGGGCATCTGCAGGATCCTGTGCTGGGCACTGGGAATACCGGGTGGACAAGTCCAATCGGAACAAACCAGGGTGCCCTTTGAGCTCGCTGCCCGGCTCCCGTGTCCGTCAGTGCAGATCCCTGGGAACAGAGGTGGGGGAGGGGGGTGTGCATATTGTAGGGTGCAGGCATGTGGGAGGAGCCAGCTGCCGGCCCCATATGGTGGCTCTGCCCACTCTGTGGTGCCAGGAAGGGCTCAGTGGAGAAAGTGGGGGAGGCGGGAGTGCCTGGTGTAAGAGCGCCACTTTGGGGAGCTGGTTCGTGTGAGTTTTGTTGTAGCCCTGCTGTGTGGGGGGCAGAGCTGGGGGGCCAAGTGTTCTATGCACAGTGTTCATTCTCATGGCGTCTCTTATTCCTCCTTGGATGGATGAGGCTCAGAGAGATCCAGTCACCTATCCCAGGCCACCCAGCTAGCCAGAGACAGAGCTGGGATGAGCCCCCGCTAGGACGTCCAGCCCACCACCCCCATGGGGCACCATCTTTTTTTTTTTTTTAAAGATTTTATTTATTTATTTGAGACAGAGAGAATGAGAGACAGCATGAGAGGGAGGAGGGTCAGAGGGAGAAGCAGACTCCCTGCCGAGCAGGGAGCCCGATGCGGGACTCGATCCCGGGACTCCAGGATCATGACCTGAGCCGAAGGCAGTCGCTTACCCAACTGAGCCACCCAGGCGCTCTGGGGCACCGTTTCTTTGAACCAGGATTCACAGCCTCCCGGGGCGCTGGGCAGGAGCTGCGGGTAGGTGGGTGATTTCGGCGCCTCCTTTACCCTCTCTCGCCGGGTCTGCGCCTCCAGGTACAAAGGCTTCATCAAGGACTGCCCCAGCGGGCAGCTGGATGCTGCAGGCTTCCAGAAAATCTATAAGCAGTTCTTCCCATTTGGAGATCCTACCAAGTTCGCTACGTTTGTTTTCAACGTCTTTGACGAAAACAAGGTGAGCTGGGGGTTGGCAGGGCCCGCGCCCGGCCCAGAGTCCCCTCCCTCCCGCAGGCGCCCGCGGCATCTCCGCACCCACGCTCTCCTGCCGGCCTTCCCTTCTGGAGAAGGAACACACACATGCACATACACTGATGCATACAAATGCGTGCCTGCGTCCGCACACAAACGTGCGTACACATATGCAATTCATGCACTTACACGTGCTGCACAGAGACGTGTATGCGTACGTATGTTTGTACATACAGGCATGCGCACGTTTGTATACCTTGCCCTTTCTCTTACAAGCACAGAATGCAAATGCCTGCAGGCACAATAACCCGGATTTAGAATCATCACTGACCTTACTGAACATTTACTGTGTGCTAAGCTTTTTACGTGGATTATTTTGAGTGAGGCTTTACAACCAACTACCTGTGGGGTATGGCCTTTTAATACTCCCATTTTGCAGATGGGGAAACTGAGGCTCTGAGCAGCATACAATATGGGATCTTTTATGCCTGGCTCCTTTCACGGAGCATCATGTTTTCAAGGCTCATCTGTGTTGTTGCGTGTGTCCCCTCCTGGGGATGGCCGTGCTGACAGTTGGCAGATCCACTGTCAGGGGGCCCACAGTCCTTAGCACTCTGTCCCATGCCTGCATTTTTCCAGGCTTCCTCATGTTCACGGTGGATTTACTGTAACTTGTTTTCACGCTCTGTACTGTTGGGCGCTTGGAATGTTTCTGTGCTGTCACGCTCTGGCTTTCTCCCCAAGTGTCCTCAGGCTGACAGTCACACTGCCTAGCCCTGGGAAGAGCTCTGCCCTCTCCAGGCCTCAGTTTCCCTATTTACAAAATGGACAGGTGGGATTAAACAGTCTAGAGCCCTGCCCTCAAAAGCCTGGAAGCCTGTAGTTCTAGGCCAAGGGGAAAGGGGATCTCCAGGAGGCCCTTGCCCAGAGAGGGTGTGTGTGTGTTGGTGGTAACTTCTGGCTCTTTCTCCCACCAGATGTGGAGTTGGGCTCTGCCTTTAGCCTCACTCCTTCTTCTGTCCCCCCTGCCTGGCCTGACCCATCTGTAATCCTACCCCCCACTCTGTCCCTTGTCCCCTCTCTCCCACCCTCTCCACTTGGCTGTCCGTGCATCAGCCATGGGCATCTGGTGCCTGCCGCCACCCATCACGCACCCAAGGCCCAGCCTGACCAGAGACCCGGTACTGACTGAGGCCACCCTGCCCCTCTCTCCTGTCAGGACGGGCGGATCGAGTTCTCTGAGTTCATCCAGGCGCTGTCGGTGACCTCAAGGGGAACCCTGGATGAGAAGCTTCGGTGTAAGTCCTGTCCCTGGGTTCTGTCAGGCAGCCTCTGGCTGGGCCCAGGCTGGAGGGAGCCCAGATAACCGGGCCAGGTTGTGGGTCCAGGGCTGAGAGATGACCCAGATGTCCGGCCTTTCCAGGTCACAGGAGCTTCCCTGGGGGTGGCCGTGTAGGAGGAACATGGCTTACCGAGGCAGGGTGGACAGATGGGGCGGTCAACGGGTGTAGACGTGGGCCTTGGGTACTGTAGCCTTGCATTCTAAGACTCGGTTCCAGTGCTGCCTGCACCTCTTGGGAGGCCGCTGTTTTGATGTCTGGTCTCATCCATGCACTTACTCGTTCACTCAGCAGATATCCAAGGGACACGGCCACAGTGCGCCCTGGCCCGGAGGCTGGGAAGCCGCGGGAGAATCAGATAGGCAGGTGCCCGCTGTCATGGCTGTCAGTCTAGCACGGGGACAGGATTTTGAAAAATCCCATAAAACTGCAGCCGAGGCGGGAAGGGTGGGTGAGCAGACAGGAGGGCAACTGGCTCTGTGAAGGGTCAGGAGCTGGCCCTGCGGGAGGCGGGAACAGCATGTGCGAGGCCCTAGGGCGGAGTAGGCAGGGGCAAAAGGACGTCTGGAGAGAGGGTGGAAGCAGTTGAACCAGAATTCACTGCTCTCTTGGGCCTTTACGTTGCATTGCATTGGCAACAAGAAAACAGTGCGGTTTCTTTTTCTTTTTCTTTTTCTTTCTTTCTTTCTTTCTTTTTTTTTTGTAATAAAGAAGGATTTTGTTTATGTAAAAGCTACCCCCCCACCCCCATCCCGGGCATATTATTTTATTTTCTTAGTTGACCATAGCAGGAAGCTCCGTGATTGTGGGAGAGGAGTGGGTGGAGAGGAGGCGGAGACTGGGGAGGGCGGGGGTGGGGGGAGGGAGGCCATTAGGGGTTCCTCCTGCCCTCCCTCCCCCCCCCCGACTCAACCCCAGCCCCTGCTCTACAGACTCAGAGACCCCTTCTTTTTGCTTTTAGTTTCTTTTTTTTAAACCCCACTTGAAATGCACTCTGTGTGTGTGTGTCTGTCTCTCTGTCCATCCCTGTTTGTCCTGATGTGAATCCTCTGTGGATGAGTAATGGGGCTCCCCCGCATGTTGGGGGGGGGGTCGGAGGGGCATGGCAGAGCCTGCCGGACCCTGCCCTGCGCTGGGGCTGACTCCGCCCCACTGCTTGATCACAGGGGCCTTCAAGCTCTACGATCTGGATAACGACGGCTACATCACCAGGAACGAGATGCTGGACATTGTGGACGCCATTTACCAGATGGTGGTGAGGCCTGGGCCCTATGGGGTAGGAGAGGCAGGGGGGGCGTCACGTTTGGGGACAGGGCCTGGTCGGCCCCGAGGGAGCCCGCTCGCGTAGCCGCTCTCCCGCCCGGGCTGAGAGTTGGCCAGGGGAGGGGTGGTCACTGCACATCTGCGAGGTGGGCAGCGGCTGTGGGGACAGAGTGTCCCAGAGCAGGAGGCAGAGAGGGCCGGGGTGGGGTGGGGAGTGGGAGGAAGAGCAGTCCGCATCTGGAACCCGCCCAGATCTGGGGGGCACGCTTTTGGCCAGGACCCCAAAGCCGGAGTGCCAGGAGCCTAGCGCCCACCTTGTCTTTCTCTGGCAGGGGAACACCGTGGAGCTCCCTGAGGAGGAAAACACCCCGGAGAAGAGGGTGGACCGCATCTTCGCCATGATGGACAAGGTGAGCCCGGGTGAGGCTGGTACTTGACCAGGGAGGTGAGGCGTGGGGGCCAGGCCCTGGGCCCCAGTGGGTGGGCTGCGCAGACCCTCCGAGATGCATAGATGTTCAGTGCAGGTCAGCAGCCATCCCTATCAAATGTCCAGAGCTTTAAGTTTAGCCAACACTTCTTCTTTCCCCAGCTAAATTCTTTTTTTTTTTTTTTTAAGATTTTATTTATTCATTCATTTGAGACACAGAGATACAGAGAGAGAGAGAGCAGGGGCGCCTGGGTGGCTCAGTCATTAAGCGTCTGCCTTTGGCTCAGGTCATGGTCCCGGGGTCCTGGGATCGAGCCCCGCATCGGACTCCCTGCTCCGCAGGAGGCCTGCTTCTCCCTCTCCCACTCTCCCTGCTTGTGTTCCCTCTCTCACTGTGTCTCTCTGTCAAATAAATAAATAAAATCTTTAAAAAAAAAAAACAAAACAGCATGAGCCGGGGGAGAGGCAGAGGGAGAGGGAGAAGCAGGCTCCCTGCCGAGCCAGGAGCCCAATGTGGGGCTCAGTCCCCGGACCCTGGGATCATGACCTGAGCTGAAGGCAGACACTTAACCATCTGAGCGACCCAGGCGCCCCTCCCCAGCTAAATTCTTAACCGTTTTTACTTCTTGACCTGGACCCCTTTGACGTACTGGAGAAGTCTCTGGGCTTCTCAGAATAACGGTTTTCAGTGCATCAAATCAAATCCATAGGATCAAAAAGGAAGCTAATGATTTTGGAATACAGACATCAAAATATTTTTTAAAAAGAATTCGTGATAGAGCATTCTGTGAGCTTCTTTATGAATGCATTAAATAAAGAGGTGTAGTGGTGGGTGTCACCACCCCGCAGTTTCAAAGCAGTGACAAGCGTACGTGATGCCCGCACGTCATTGCCTATGACCCCCACGGTTGACACAGGTCCCAGGTGCAGCTGGTTCTCTTGGGCATTGTCACCTACCATCATTGTAGATAGAAAAGCTAAATTTCAGTTAGAAGTTAGCAAATAGAAAGACCTCGTTTTTTTCCCATCTAAGTTTACAGACCTGCTGCATTCTAGCCACAGATCCCAGGTTAAGAAATCCTTGTTTATATCAACCTTTTTTTTTAAAGTGAAATAAGTTTGTATTTATTGGAAATTTGATATAGTGATGGTAGGGCAGCCCAGTATCACTTGCCTTAAATCAAAGAACACAAATTACAGTGACAGTGGCCTTATTTTTTTTTTTTTTAAGATTTTATTTATTTGACAGAGAATGAGTGAGAGCACAAGCAGGGGGAGAGGGAGAGGGAGAAGCAGGCTCCCCGCTGAGCAGGACCCTGGGATCATGACCTGAGCCAAAGGCAGACACTTAACTGGCTGAGCCACCCAGGCGCTCCTGACAGTGGGCTTATTAGTATGTCCTTGTTGGATCCAGGTGCTTGCCCTGAAAGCTTAGAGCCTGAGATCAGCACATGTCAGAGAGGCAGGGAAGACCTCTAGGTTCAGACTGCGCTGGTCTCTTGGCGTTGATCAAAAGATGCATCCACAGCGTGTGGAGCGAGGGATACTGACTTTGTCACGGGGCGGTTCGATGCTGTTTAATGCCAAGGCCACACGCTCCTTCAATCTCCCCGACTCATACATCCCTTATTTAGGGAAACAGAGCCCACCACCCACCCAGACTGGTGTAAATTCTACCTTCCCCAGTGACTAGCCATGGGGCCCTAGGGAGGTGACCAAGCCTCAGTTTCCTTACCAGCAAAATGGGGATAAGAGCAGTGCCTCTTCTTAGGGCGGCCGTGAGGAGCCCCTGAGAGCAAGTGTGAGATGTGTAGCATCTTCAGGGCCCGCAGTGAGCCATCTCTCTGGGCCTTTTTTTTTGGCTCTCACGGGTTTCCCTGAGAGATGCTCCAGAGGCAGGGATTCTGGCCCACATCACCACTACCCCGAGAGACCCACTCAAGCCCTTTTTCTTGAGCTCCACTGGGTCTCCTGGCGTCTGGTGTAGGCTGCTCCTGGAGTGGTTTAAATGCCCTTGCAAGAGTGACCCCAGAGAAATGCAGTGCGCTCTCAGCCCTTGGGGATTAACCACCATTTATGGGAATTCATTGCAGTGATAATGATAAGTATGGAGTTAGGGGTCCAGGGTCACGTACCCAAGGTCACCTTGCCAGGAAGTGCCTGGGTCTCTCTTGACGCCTGACTCCTCCTACCTAGCAAGGTGCGCTGCCTTCTTCCTGACCTAAATTTGGAAGCTCTCTCCGGGCCAGTCCTGGGATGGGCTTGGGGAGCAGGTGTCCAGGGTCCAGGCCAGAGGCCCCTATCCTAGGAGGCTTATTGTCCCCCCACCTTCAGCCGCCTCTCTCTGCTTGCAGAACGCCGACGGGAAGCTGACCCTGCAGGAGTTCCAGGAAGGATCGAAGGCAGACCCCTCCATTGTGCAGGCGCTGTCCCTCTATGACGGGCTGGTATAGTCCAGGGCCCAGAGCCGGGGTGAGTGGAGGGGAACCTGGGGCTTGGGGTTGGGGGCGGGGGGGAAAAGCCAGTCACAGGGCACCTAGGATTCGCTGGGTCTCCTGGCAGTCCTTGGGGTCTGCCCAGCTGGAGCCGAGCTGGTAGGAGGGCCTGGAGATAGGCTTCAAATCAGCTACAGCCTTTCTCCTTTTGTCATTTTTATATGCCCAGATTCGGCCCGAGAGTTTGCTTAAATAGAAGTTTCCCTGGATTGGAAACGCTTTGAAAAGCATAGTTGTCGGGGGACGGGGAGAGCAAGGGCTGTGCACGCCCTCTGGGTGTGGCCCGTGGAAGCCCTGAGTGAGCCCTCTGGCTCCCTTGTTCAGTAGCTCAGATATGGTTTCTCATTTCCTCCAGTCGGGTTTGCTGGAAGTGCTGAGCCATAGAGCCAGGAGAGGCCTCTGTGGCCGGGAGAGGACTGCCTCCCTTTTTCTTCCTGATTCTCCCCTACCTCTTCTTTCTGCCTCCTCTCTGTTCTGTCCTCCGTGTTGTGTGCGAGGAATGGGGGTGTTGCCCCCGCCGAGGTCATTCTTGAACGTGCCTTCTGGTGGACGGATGATGCGTTCCCTTGGTGTGTATCTGAGGAAGATTGTGGGACCCAGGATATGTGTGTGTTCGGGTTCACTAGAGGCTACTCGAGTCTTCCCATGTGGCTCCCCCCCAATTTTAGACCCCACCAGCACTGCCTCAGAGTTCCATTTGCTCTACAGCCCGGCCAACACTGGATGCTCTCTGTCTTTTACATTTTACACATTTTGGTGGGTGTGTCGTGACAGGGTATAATTTTAATTTACCTTTCTCCGGTGAGCACGGACGTCGGGTAGCTGGTCATATGTACGTCATCCTTTTGGGAAGTGCCGTCATAGTTATCTATTGCTGAATGCTAGGTTACCTCAAAACTGCCGCTGAAAAGAACAGACATCAGGAATTTGGGCACAGCTTAGCTGGGGGCCTTTGGCTTGAGGTCTCTCATGAGGATGTAGTCAAGCTGTCAGCAAGGTGACCAGCCATCCCTGTTTGCCCAGGACTGTCCCAGATTTTGCATGGAAAGTCTCAAGTTCTAGGAAACTCCTCAGCCTCAGGTAACCTGGATAACCCTCAGCTGCTGGCCAGGGCCGTGGTGTCATCTGAAGGTTTGGTGGGGGAGCACCCACTTCCAAGCTCGCTCATTTGAATCGGCAGCCTCGGTTCTCACTGTGGGGACTTTTGCACAGGGCTGCTGGCTTCCGTCAGGGGGAGCTTCCTAGGAGGGAGGGAGAGTGAGAACCCGAGATGCAGGCGTCCATCTTCTCATAACTTAATCTTGGAAGTGACACCTCATCACTTTTTTTTCAGGAGTGCCTTGGCTACGTTAGGCTATGTGCATTTATATATAGATTTTAGAATGAATGTATCCATTTCTATACACACACGCACACATTGAGATTTTGATTGGGATTGAGTTGAATCTACAGTTCATTTTGGGGGAGAATTGGCATCTTTGTTGTGTGGAGTGTTCCAATCCATGAAAATGGTATATCCATTCATTTAGGTCTTTCAAATTTTTCCTCTAGGACATTTTATTGATTTCAGCTAAAAAGTCTTTTACATCTTATGATAGATTTATTCCTGGATATTCAGGTTTGTTTTTTTTAAATTGTATTTCCCGTTTATTTCTGGTTTCTAGAAATTCAGTTGGTTTTTGTTTATTGATGATATATCTAATGGTCCTACTAACGTCACTTATCAAATCTAAGAATCTACCTTCAATTCTTTGGGACTGTCTATGCTTTATTTCTTCCTCTCCTGTCCTTCAGCCATCTGTTTCTTTGTCCTGCTTCCTTGCACTGGCTGGGCCCTCCAGTGCAGTGTCACTTAGGAGTAGCGATGGTGAGCATTTTTGTCTCACTCTTGGTCTTGGGGGACAGCTTTCAATAATTCACTATTAGTGGGAAGCCTGGGTGGCTCAACGCGTTGAGCGTCTGCTTTCGGCCAAGGTCATGATCCCAGTGTCTTGGGATCGGGTCCTGCATAAGGCTCCTTGCTTGGCAGGGAGTCTGCTTCTCCCTCTCCCTGCTTGTGTTCTTTCTCTCTCTCTGATAGATAAATAAATAAAATCTTTTTAAAAAAAAGAATAATTCAGGGGCGCCTGGGTGGCTCAGTCGTTAAGCGTCTGCCTTTGGCTCAAGTCATGATCCCAGGGTCCTGGGAGCGAGCCCCACATCGGGCTCCCTGCTCCGCAGGGAAGCCTGCTTCTCCCTCTCCCACTCCCCCTGCTTGTGTTTCCTCTCTCACTGTGTCTCTCTCTGTCAAATAAATAAAATCTTTAAAAAAATAATAATAATAATTCACTATTAGATTAGTTAAGTTATAATTAACTCAATAATTATCATTAGAATGTCTGGTATAGGTCTTCTGTTGATAGGTTTTATCAGATTTAGAAATTTCCTTTTCTAGGGCACCTGGGTGGCTCAGTTGGTTGAGCGACTGCCTTCGGCTCAGGTCATGATCCTGGAGTCCCGGGATCGAGTCCCGCATTGGGCTCCCTGCTCAGCAGGGAGTCTGCTTCTCCCTCTGACCTTCCTCCTTCTCATGCTCTCTGTCTCTCATTCTTTCTCTCTCAAATAAATAAATAAAATCTTTAAAGAAAAAAAAAAGAAATTTCCTTTTCTAGTTCACCAGGAGTTGTTTTTTATTTATGTTTATTTATTTTAAGTAATTGCTACACCCAACGTGGGGCTCATACTCACAACCCCGAGATCAAGAGTCCCAAGCTCTTCCAACTGAGCCATCCAGGGGCCCCTCCTAGGAGTTTTTTTTTTTTTTAAGATTTATTTATTTATTTGACACAGAGAGAGAGACAGCAAGAGAGGGAACACAAGCAGGGCGAGTGGGAGAGGGAGAAGCAGACCTCCCGCCCAGCAGAGAGCCCAGTGCGGGGCCCATCCCATCCCAGGACCCTGGGATCATGACCTGAGCCAAAGGCAGATGCTTAACGACTGAGCCACCCAGGTGCCCCCAGGAGTTGTTTTTTTAGAAAATCACGAAGAGTGTTGAGTTTTATAAAAAAAATTTTCTGCGTCTACCAGGATGCTTATATGACTTTTCTCCCTTTTGGGTGTTAACCTGATGAATAACGCTGATTGGTTTTTGAATGCTAAGCCTCCCTTGCACTCTTAGAATAAACTCTACTTTCACCATTGTGTGTTAGTGTTTTTATGTATCATCAGATTTGATTTGCTGATACTTTATTTTGGGGGCTTATGCTATTCTTAAGTTTCTGTGAGGCTGCTGCTGTTGATGATTTTACACAAGAAATCCTTTTCCATTGAAGAGACCTTAGACAGTATGTTGAAACAGAACACAAGAAGTTTATTTTTAAAAACCTTCATGTATAACCCAGATATAACCACTGTGAGCATTTTGGGTCCAGGGTGATTCAAAAAGAATCGAACACTCACAAAAATAACTGGGTCACATGGGGGTATATAATCAAAACAGTTTCTAAAGAAACCATCATAGTTATTTCTCTGATCTTAGAAGCACTCGGCATGTGGCTCTGGGTCCCATGGTGCGTATTATGATCCATTGTCTCATTTCCCAGAGGCTTCTTTTGTGAATTACCACCAGTGGCCTCTTGTGACATGCTGCTTTGTCTCCCGCAGGCTGTGGAAAAAGTGGTACAAACATAGCTTCTTGATATATCCGCCTCCCAGAAAAACTCACGCAGTGTCACTAATTTCTTTATGGTGTGTGATTATTTTTCAATCACCCTAATTGTTTCTGCCTTACGGTTTTCTGTGAACACACATGTGTTTGTATTTCCTCAGCAACAATGAGTTCATAACCATATGTTGTTGGCTGTTGTTTTGTTTTTTTTTTTATGATCAACTTATAGGAAACATTTATGTTTTCTTTTGGAGACTCAACACTAGGAGAAGAGGTTTTTTGTTTGTTTGTTTGTTTGTAGAGAAAGAGAAAGAGCACACACGAGCTGTGGGGAGGGGCAGAGGGAGAGGGAGAGAGAGAATCTCAAGCAGGCTCCACGCCCAGTGTGGAGCCCAATGCAGGGCTCGATTTCATGACCCCGAGATCAGGAGCTACACCAAAATCAAGAGTCAGTTGCTTAACTGACTGAGCCACCCAGGCACCCCAAGAAAAAAGATTTTTAACGTGTTTTACCCAACTTGGCACAAAGTTCACATCATGCTGTGGCTGCACAGACTTTCCTTAACACCATGTATGGAGACACCCATCTGAGCCTCACCAGCAACATGGCGGCCAAGAAGATGTTACTTTATTTCCATGACGAGCTTTTCAGACAACCTTTCTATAGCTCGTCCCCAAAATTGCCCTCTTCCTGTTCTCAGGCTTGTCCTAGAACCTACTGGATAGTAATTAGATCCAACTTGTGTTCCATCATTTTTGTGATTGATTTGCCTTCTCAGATTCCTGATGTATCCTAATTGTTCGATAAGTTACTGTTACATAATCCACTGAGCCACCCAGGAACTGAGATCCTGCCTATTTTCTACATCAGTAAAAATGTGGTTCGACACCATCGTTTTTAATAGCTGCATGGTATTCTGTTGTATAGTTGGGCCATAATTTACCCAGTCCTGTGCTATGGGACACTTAGGCTGTTGGAAATCTTGAAGTGGGTTTTTAAAAAAAACTTCGTATTCACAAGCAGTGGTGGAAGGAATGGTGTAATCCCATTACTGACCATCCTCCTTCAGAATCACCAATTCGCTGCCAATCTTGTACTGTCTGTACCCTCCATATGCACCTTCGGAGTGGGTTAATTTGAAGCAAATTCAAGACATTCTATCATTTCATACATAAATATTTCAAAATGTATTCCTAAAAGATAACAATCTTTTACAAAATCCATAATAGTAGAAAAATCAGTACTGATGCCTTAATACCCCCCACCCTGCAGCTGGTACTCCCATTTCCTATTACCTCAGGGGTTTTTGTTTATTGGAATCAAAATCTGAATAAATTCCACCTATTGCAATTGGTTGATAGGTCTCTCAAGTTTATTTTAATCTGTTTCCCCTTCCCTTTTTGGCTTGCTGTTTGTTGAGAAACACGTTCTGTAGAGTCTCCTCCATCTGCGGTTTGTGGATTGCGCCCCTGTGGTAGTTCTCACATGTTCTTTGGTTCCCTGTACTTCCGGGAAATGGGCAGTTAGATCTACAGGCTTGCCCAGCACTCGGTTTGGTCCACCTCGTCGAGAACACCTCCTAAGTGGGGCTGCCTGTGTCCACCAGGTAGCTCATGAGGTCGGGTGGTGATGACTGCTTCATTCATTCATTCTGTAGGTGACGTTCTAAAGCTGTCTGTCCTTCTTTGTTTGTGGCTCGGTTGCTTCTACACAGGGAACTTTCCCCTCGTCAACTATTTTGTTACTCTAAAACCTAGTTTTTAATTGGAAAGGCAGGATAGATACTCAATTCTTCCTCCGTTTCAGTTTTCAAAATGAGTTGGATTCTAATATCCTTTTGAGGTGACCAACAGCTTTTTTTTTTAAACATATAATCATGAATTTATGGATTTAAATGCATTTGGTGAGTTTCATCATGTTTGCGGTTTTCACCACGACACTGCGGATCGTAAGCGTTCACAGATTGCCACAGAAGGCAAAGCATGTGATGAGAAACTCAGCCAAGCGCCCCAGGGTTGGCATGGGGACGGAAGGCTGAGAGGACACAGTCCTCTCCCTGGGTGACTCTTCCCCCCACCTGCACTGCAGCGGCCACCCAAACTCTGGTCCCGTGGGGCCTTCCTACTCCTCCAGGGCCACCGCCACGTAGCTTCTGACTGACCCAGATGATGCTTTCAGGTCATCTCACACAGATCTGGGAAATGGCCTCTTTTGGATCCGACACCTTCGCCTGTGCAGTTGGGGGAGCAGGGACATGGGATTTAAGCGGAGCAGGTTATGGGAAGGATCTGTGGATGGCGCAGACGCCAACAGACAGGACGGTCCTCCATGCCTTTTTTCCAAAATATATCAAGGCGAAATTCACCTAACATAAAATCAATCACTTTGTTTTTAAAAAATTTTTTTTAAGTATTTATTTATTTTAAGGAGGCTCTACACCCATCATGGGGCTTGAACTCATGACCCTGAGATCAAGAGTCGCAAGCTTCTAGTGACTGAGCCAGCAGGGCGCCCCGTCCCAAAGGGGAAGGGTGGGTTCCAATGAACCATTTTCAAGTGAACAATTCAGTGGCATTTTGTACATTCGCAACGATGTGCAACCACCACCTCTGTCTAGTTTCAAAACATCTGTATCCCTCCAAAATCAAATGCCAAATCCACTACACAGTTTCTCCCCATCCCCCCTGCAACTAAGCCCCCAGCAGCCCCAGCCTGCCTTCTGCCTCTGTGGATTTGCCTATCTGGGACATTTCGTAGAAGTGAAATCTGTGGCCTTTTTTGTCTGGGTCCTTTCACTCAGCGCAGTGTTTCCCAGGTCCATCCACGTTGTAGCGCTTGTCAGGACTTCGTTCCTTCTTACGGCTGAGTCGTGCTCCGCTGTATGGACAGAGCACATTTTGTTCATCCACTCATCCATTGGTGGACATCTGGGTTTCCACCTTTTGACAACTGTGAACAGTGCTGCCATGAACGTGGGTGTCCGTGGCTTCGAGTCCCGATTTTCAGTTCTTTGGGGTGTATCCCTAGGAGTGGGAGTGCTGGATCCTGTGGTAACTCTGTGTTTAACTTTTTGAGGAACCACCAGACAGTTTTCCACGCAGCTGCACCATTTTACCTACGCCAGCAAGAGTTGGGGGTCCCGGGCTCGCCACACGCCCACCAACACTTGTTTCCCTGTGTTCTGAGGAGAGCCACCCTAGTGGGTGTGAAGTGGTGTCTTAGTGTGGTTTTTCTTTGCTCTTCCCTGATGACTCGTCCCGTTGAGCCTGTTGGCCATGCCATGCCAACTCAGTGGTTGCCCATCACGTGATGCTCTGGCTGCATCCTGTGTATCCAACCAGCTCCCTGTTAGTGGACACTGAGTTGCTCCCTCCCTTTTTATTTTGCTATTATAGATGATTTTACTGAGGCAAACCCCTTCTTTCTTTCTTTCTTTTTTTTTTTAAGATTTTATTTATTTATTTGACAGAAAGAGAGGGAGAGAGAGAGCATGAGCAGGGGGAGCGGCAGGCAGAGGCAGAGGGAGAAGCAGACTCCCCACTGAGCAGGGAGCCCGATGCGGGGTTCGATCCCAGGACCCCAGGACCATGACCTGAACCGAAGGCAGACGCTTCACCAACTGCGCCACCCAGGCGCCCCCACCTGATTTATTTCTTAAGGATGAATACTAAGCAGCAAATGGGTGGATCAGAGGGTATGCACATTGAATTTTAGGACTTCTGACAGAATGCCACCCTGCGCCCTCACTGACTCTCCCGCCAGCCCTGTAGGGGTGCGTCCCTGGCAGCCAGCTCTGCACCTGTCTCACCTCCTTGTGTCTTCCAGATGCCTGGGAACCACTCACCTCCTCCCGTGCCATGAGGCCACCTCCGCCCCAACACCACCCTCCTGTGTCCACCCAGCCTTTCTCCGCATCCATACCCAGCCGGGCTGCCCTGGAACCACGAGGCCCGGCTCTCCTCCCCCCAGCCCTGCACCCACGACCGCGTGAAGCCACCGGCTCCAATTGCCAACCACCTCTGCTTGTCCAGAAACCAACACAAAATGGAAAAGGCTCTAGCCCTCTGCAAAACCGAGGACTCAGCTGCTTCGCAGGCAGCCTCTGGGTCCCTCCCGCTCTCCTGCGCGTGTGCTTTTGTTTTTTTATTTCAAACAAACATTGAAAAAGAAAAAAACAAAACAAAACTGCCTTCTGTCCTAGAAGGTACAGACTGACAGATGGGGAGAAAGCTACCGTTGACCTCAGAGAACACTGCCTCCCGCCTCGGCCGTCCTTCGGCAGCCGGAGAGGCCACGGAAGTCACGGCCTCGGCCACGGTGCGCTCGGGGTGTCAGGGGGGCCCACCTGATTAACCTTATTTGTCGTCCCTTCCTCGAGCAGCGAAACCACCTGCGTGGCTAGGATGATTCATGATGATGATGATGATGATTTTTTTGTGATCACAGTATTGTGCTTTTTGTGGGGAAAGTGAGTTTTTTTTATACATATATAATTGATATCTTTTATTTATTGGTTGTTAACTGTTGCTGCTGCCTCGTGTGTCCAAAGCTCCCAGGGATGCGGGGCCTACCGTTTACATGTGCACGCCCTCGCCCACCTGCCCACCTGCGCTTGGGAGGATGGTGGCCTGCAGCGGCCAAGAAGCCAAAAAACTTTCTCTCTCTCTCTCTCTCTTTTTCTTTTTCCAGATACTGTGCTCGATGTTTGGAGAGGGGGAAGAGTGGGTTTCTTAAATGGCTAATGCACTGTTTTCCCCCCACCCCCAGCCCAAATGCCTCCTCTTGAACCCCTTTTCTCTGCTTCCTGTCCACACCCCCCATCCTGTGTCTTCCTCTGGGTCCACAGCATCTTTTCTGAGGACAAACAGGGGATATCTTTTGGTTTCTCAACTCTTGCTTTGGTGTTTGCAGCAGCATGGAGCCTGGGAGCCAACAAGGGGGGACTGGGTACATTAGGAAAGGGGAGGAGGGCCCTCTTTGCAAGCAGGTGAGCAGAGGAAGGGCTCCTTCTCCCTCCGTGGTGGATTTTGAAAACTGTCGCTCAGTTCTCTCCCGCTTGCTTTTCTGCCTGCCGGTCTGCCTTGTCCAGTAGACCACAGAGCATCCTCCTTCCCTTCCCTCTCTCAGCTCAGATGCTGGGAGGGCGGGCGGGAGGGAAGGGGCACAGGCAATCCCATTCGGTACTGGCTGCTCCTAGAGGCTATGGCCCACATGCGCTCCTAGGAAGCTTCTGACCCCACCTGCCACCGAGACAGGCTGGCCCTGGAACTGCCACCAGGAAAGTCAGATGACCTTGGACCAGAGGCCAGGAACCTGCAGCTGGCTCTGCTCTGTGATTGTGGGCAGGCCCCAGGCCTCTCTGGGCCCCAGCTATCCCAGCTGCAGAACCAGGAAGCTTGGGCTTCTTGAACCGGAAGGTCCGCTTCCATGCTGACACTGTACAATCATAAGGCTGGGTCTTTTACAGTTTATGATTCTGCGGTCTGTGGCTAAGTTTGCCAGACCCCAACAGACACGAGATCTGTTTGAGTCACTATTTTGTCTCTTGGCACAAGTCTTTGGGGACATGGCAGCTGCTGGTTGTGTTGTGTGGGGTCAGATGACCTACCTGGTTCTCTCTGCAGTTCTTCCTGGTCCCTCCTGGACTCTTGAACTGTCTTTTTGGCCCAGAACTAGTCCTCATGGAAGGAAGGCTTCTGGTATGGGAGGCAGCCTCCCAGACTACCTAGGGCCCGGCCTGACTCTAGAATTCCTGCTTCTCTGCAAAGTCAGCAGCCTGTCCTCTCCCTGCTTACTCCAGCCCCAGGAGAGGAAAAGCTGGCCCTTGGTTCTCACTTTGAATTGTCCTTGGTCTTCACTTTGCACTTTCCCAGGAGGCCAGAGCGACTACTAATTAACCCAGAGCACGGCTCTGCCAGCGTGGGGCTTGCATGTCCGTTCCCGCTGGCTGGACTGCTCAGCCAGTCCCTGACTCCCTTCTTGCTCAGCAGAGCCCGTGGCTGTCCCCCACCTCTACTGTAAGCCCCAGATTCCGCGGGTACTGGGAGCGCTTTGATCTTCACAGGTGACTTTGCAGGTTGGGCCCCTCAAGGCCCCTGCAGTCACCTTCCTGCTCAGGCCACTGGCTCAGGAGCCCCAGGACTCCCCCTCCCAATCCTGGCTCTGACCTAGGACCCTCGGGCAGGAGACTGACTTGGTGGCTTGGGGCTGGAGGAGGGGAGAGGGGGGCCCTTCCCCATGTCACATTACTTCTCTGGCTTCTGCCTGAGCCTCGATTTGCGTCTCTGGCCCAGTGGGGAGGAGCTGTCGAGCACCCCATGCTAAAGGCATCATCTCGGTAAGGGACTTGCGGCTCAGAATCATCTAGGCTTATGCGTGTGGATTCCCCCCGCCCCCTCCCTCCCCAGCTCGGGCATCAATTCCCAGGCGTCTATGAGCTTCTGCCCACGAGGCCTTCCTTCCACCTTCTTGCCCTCTGACCTTTTGGTATGGAGCCACGGGTGTGGCTTTTGGCCTTAGCAGGCGTCCTGTGGCCCCATGGCTCAGGCGCACCTTGGGTCCATGCCCGGGGACAGCCCAGAGCTGCCGGAAGGGCCAGCCCTCTTCCTGGCGGGGTGCTGGACTTTGGCCGTTTGTGCCCGAGGTTGCGGGCAGGGACAGTTCTGTCTCCTCCTCTCACCAGGCCTCTAGATCTGGAATCCTGAGCAGCTGTGGGCCTCTGTCCCCAGCGGCGATTTCCACCCGAGGCCCAGGCCGGTCACATGCTGCTCTCTGGGGGTTCCAGACCCACCGGATGCCAGGCTCTCCGTCCCTCCGCCGACCCTTCTCTCCTGGTCCCCTGGCCCAGGAGCAGCGGCCCTTGCCTCTTCCTCACGGCGTCCGCTCCCCACTCTGTGTTGATGGCACTGAGGAGAAGCCAAAGTTCCCGACATTTGACCAGGCAACGTTTTGAGTAACGTCGAGGCAAACGTGCGTGTCCTCCTTTCCCCAGAAATGCTTTTCAGTTTGACAGCCAACCTCCTAGACGACAGGCACACCTGGGCTTTCGGGAACCTGCCTTTTCTCTGAGGGGAGGAAGGTTGGGGGGGCCTTGGCCCCCCGGGAGAGGCAGCCTCTGTCTGGAGCTAAGCCCCACTGCGCGCCCAGCGCAAAGCTACCCGGTTCTCGGCGCAGCCTCGCCTCCGCGTCTGGCGATCCAAGGGGACGCCGGCGCGCCCCCTGGTGGCGGGGAGCTGGAAAGGCATGTGGGGGCGCCCCACAGGCCAAACAGGAGCTTGGAGGGGGCAGCGGGAGGCGGGGGAGTGGAGGAGGGGGCTCCGATCTCACCCGGGCTCTGGGCCCCAGCCCCGCATTTTTGGCAGCGTGTCTCCCAGATGCCCCTCTTCTAGGTCTGCCCCCTCCCCTCCCCCCGGGATAGCAAGTTAATTAAGTTAATTAGCATAAGGGCACAGTGATGGGAAGCCTTGCCCTCTATCCATTTTTTTAATATCTGCGGAATAAACCCAATGGTTGATTTTTGACTGAATAAAAGGCTTTTGTTGAATAAACAGCTGGTCCCATCTTCTGTCTTGGCATCTAGGCTCAGGCTCTCGACTGGCCGGAACTGGGACAAACACAGAATCCCCCTCCTCCCCCGCCCCTGCCCCTCGCCCCTCAGCACACTTGCGTTTTCCCTACGTCTTTGCAGGGGCCCGGGCTCCACGGAGGGCCACACGCTCCCAGTCCGACTCCGTGACCGGCTTTCTCTGAGACTGGGGGCGGGTCGCTTCTGCTCAGTTCCTCTGTCCCTCAGATGGGAGCAGGTGTCTGCTCGGCCCCCCCTCACAGGGCCAAGTGAGGAGCGGAGAGCGGGCATGAGCGTAGGGGTCAGAGCACCTTGCAGAGGTGGGAGGCCAGTGGGGTGGTCTCAGTTGTCGGGATGCCCTGACCCGCTGTCTGCCACTTGGTAAAGGAATTTGGGCAACTCTTAACCAAAAAAAAAAAAAAAAGGAAAGTGCAATGTTTCCTGGCTATGGTTGTTTTCTTTCTGTTTGCCTTTCCAACCCCCCCACCCCGAGCCTCTTTTTGGGGTGCTGTCCTGTCTGAATCCGCTGGTTTGTGTCTCTGGGGAAGAAGCAGGCCCTTGCCCTGTGGTGCAGGTGGGGGAGGGGGAGGCCCCAGGGTGGACAAGGGCCATCTAGTGCGCCCAGGCCTCCTCTCGTGCTCCTGATGTATGTCTTCCATGTCATGCCAATTAAACACGCTTCCTGACTTGTCCTCGCCTCCCTTGTGTGGACCTGTTGCTTTGTCTGTTTCTGTTCTTTTTCATTTCATTTTTAGGTTTATTTCTCCTCCTGTGACACCGTTTCTCTTGCTTTGGGTGTTGTCTGCCCAGGGTCCCCAAGACAGACTGTGCAAAATGAGAGCCTTGGGCGTAATGATTAAACCAGAACATTTCAGGGAGTGTGGTGGGAAGCCGAGAGTTCGCCAGGGTGAGCCCCCCACCCCCTGTCGCACTCCCAGCCAGCATGTCTGTTCCTGCCTCTGTCATCTCCTGGGGGGTCTCTAAGGGGTTTCTCTAAAGGTTTTAAATGGTGCGAAAACAAGACTAGGAGCCTGGACTAGTTCTTCTCAAAGGGGGGATGTGTGTCAGGACCACCCGGAGGGCCAGCCTTGCTCCCAGAGTTGCTGATTAGCTAGCTCCAGGCTGGGCCTCCGGATTGGCTTTTCTAACAAGTTCGCAGGCCATGCTGATGCTGCTGGGCCGGGACCGCATGTGGAGAACCCCTGGTGAGCTGTTCCCACTGCAGGCGTCCAGTTGGGTCCTAGAGAGGAGTCCTGCCTCCGTTTGCCCAGGGGGCTCAGGCTAATCATCCGCCCGGGGGAGCTCTCAGGCACCCTGTGATGTGGCAGTTGGTGGGGCTGCCCTCTGCCGTGGTCCCCTCGGCCTGGAACCTGGGCTCTTGGGGGGCCTCCCCTTCCCCTCCGGTCAAGTAACCAGGTGTTTCCTCGACACACCTGGGCCCTCAACGTGCTGGGTGTTTGGGACAAGGAGGAATGAGAGGAGGGGATGGTCCTTGCTCTCCGGAGCTTGCTGAGGAAACAGTAGTTTGGAGAACAATTAAAGGTGATGTTGCAACAAGAGTGTAACTACTCGTTAGAAATAGACTGTTGCTCTTGGCCGAAGGCTCTTGAAAAACGTGTACATGGATGAGGCCCAACGGTCAACCTTAGAATGAGCCGCCACCTGCAAAAACAGGTCATGTTTCGGAGTGGGTTTTGTGAAAGGAATCATCAGACCAACACCGCCTGCCAAACCAAGCTGGAGGGCCCAACCTGACTTCCACTCTGGGGCTAAAGCAGCTGCTGAGAAGGGGCACCCAAAGATGGCACCCTCCGGGGCCATGATGGGCACCCTGCAGAGTGCCTTGCCCTGGCAGGGTCTGGAGTAAAGGCTAGAACTCCTCTAGACACATGGTAGCAAATCAAAGGCCGTGTGGGAAGGCAGTGTAGGGTGGTGGGTAGGGACACAGGTTCCAGAATCAGACCTGGTTCCCAGCCAGGCTCCACCACTTGACTTTGGGCGTGCATTCTAACTGACTGGGTTTTCTGGCAAAAATGTGGACCCCCAATTAGAGGCAGATGATGGCCCCACAGACATGCCCCCCCCATACACATACACACCCCAACAACCTTGCCACCAGACGGAATGTTATAAGAAAAGCAGGTCTTAGTCTGCCAAATGTCCAAACATTTACTAGCAAGCAGGTACAAAGGATCCATACACCTGTACCTATCTGTCCAAGGAGTGGGGGGACCAGTACCCCAGGGCTCTGCCCCAGAGCACAGCTCTAGAAGTCTCAGGCTGCTGAACTCACTCCTGGGAATCTCTGTAGCCAACCACTTATCCGACGACCTCACACTTCTAAGAAAAGGGATTTCTAACAGCCCTTTGCTAATGAACGTACCGTGGCGTCAATTTTAATAACAGCACGTATTTAAAATGCTAATGTGATACCTTCTGGAGAGCAGATTCCTAACTAGGGTATCTCAGATATTAAGGGACTGTCCCTGAGGTGGAGACTGGAGGTAATTTACATGCACACCCTCAGTTCCACCAAAGCTTTGAAAGTGAATAAGTGCGTGGGGGCATCGCTCTCTGGGACGACCAGGATCTGGCTCAAAGGGCTGAGGTGGGGGTAGCTGGGGCAATGTTTCCAGCACCTGGTGAGCTCACAGTGGGTGTTAGCTGTTGCTGGAGTTGGCTCCTGTCCTAGGCAGCCTGGGGAGGCATCTGCAGGGACAAGGTTCAGAGCGCCTGCTGCACGTGCTCTGGGGGCGAATGAGGCATAGTCCCTTGCTCTGGGTCAGGCTGAGGTCTGCACTGAGCTGCCCCTGGCCCAGCCTACCCTGGGCAGCTTACTGTGGGGTGAAGCCCAGTGGAGGCAGAGACCTGGCCTCTAATTCTCCATCTGGGCCACCTGATTTTCCAGGATGCCTCTAACTGGCTGTCATTTCCTGGGTGTGATAGCACGGATGAACGCCCCCCCCCCCCCAGGGTGGCCCCATTTCTCCCCACTGAGAGCCTTCCACCATATCCCCTTACTCTGCCAAACCCCAAACTCATGTCTGCATGTTAGAAAGTATCTCACCAATTCTTCTTCCCTAGAGCCCAACTCAGACGTCACCAGGCATAGAGAAGAGGAGGAAAAGAGAGCGATGGGCAGTGGGGGCAGGGGGTGGGGAATGAGATGCTGACCCCTGCTCTGCTGTGGCTGCCTCCTTCCTGCCATCTTTTGGG